TCACCCCTCCCTCCTCGTGCTTCTTCCTCCTCCCTCGCCTCCTCCTCCTCCTCCTCCTCCTCCTCCTCCTCCTCCTCCTCCTCCTCCTCCTCCTCCTCCAGGGCTGGTTCTCGGGGCGCCGGGCGGGCTCCGGGCCCCGCCGCCACCGCCGCAGGGAGGCACCGCCTCTCGGGCGCGCCGTGTCGCTCGCCTGTGTGGGGGCCTCCCGGGGAGCCCCCGTCGCCTTCGCCGTCTTCGCCGCGGGGTCCTGGCCAGGACGCGCCCCGGGAGAGGTCCGGGCAGTGGCGTTGAGTCGGGCCCGTCCCTCTACAGGAGGAATATTCAAACATAGTCAAAAATAGTCTGGAATATTTTTGATGAATATTTTGAATATTTTGGAATAGTTTTGAATATTTTTCATTTTTCGTCAAAAATTCCCCTGTAGGGGGACACGCCCGACTTAGCAGTAGCGCTATCTTGGTACCTCTTGGTTTCCCCAGTCTGAGCGACGGCAGAAGATGGGGTCAACTGCGCCAGCACTCGCGCGAGAGCATCCCGCGTGAGATGACGCGTCGGCACCCTGCTTCGCCACGCGGAGCTCTTCGCCTGCGGCTCGCGCAAGTCGCTGCATGAGGCCGCTATGCCATCGTGCGTGCTTCTTTTCGTCGCCGACCCAGAGGTCCGCGCGGACTTCTTGGATCTGTGCTGGACCTGCCGGCGCGCCAGGGAGGGGGCCCCAGCGCCGATCCGAGGACTTCGCGCGGACCGTCGAAGGTCTGTGTGTTGCGCCGCCGTTCCTTCTTCTGCGGGCGGCAACTGGCGGGTATGGCCAGGACCCCGGGTAAGGGGACCCGGGTAGTGGTAGGGCCCCGGAGCCTTTGAATTGGCCAGAATCACTACGCCAGGTTTGCCGTAGTCGGTGTTTTTTCGGGTGACGGCAGTTCCGGTCAGTGGAAATGGGACGGGGGGGCGCCCCCAGTACAGAGCTCTAGACCAGGTTCTACTAAACCCAGTTCTGCCAACGCCCGAAACTGGCGTCTTCGGATTCGCCCGTGTGCTCGACGAAACCCTCGGGCGATTGCGCGCGGTGCCCTCCCCCCCCCCCGGAGACCGTTGGCCCCGCTGTGCTCCCCGAGGCCGGGGGGGGCGGGACGGGTAGCGGGAGGACCGAGTCTCGCCTGCTCCGGCTTCTGGGCCGGGTGGGGTTCGGTCGGGCCTGTCCCTCTACGGGAGGAAAATTCAAAGATAGTCGAACCGTCGGGGGACGATGTTTTGACTATTCTCAAATATGTTTTATGAGGACATGCCCGAACTAAGCGTAGGGCTGAGCTCGCGTGGCTGACGGGGGCCGCGCCCGTCTGGCTTCGGCTCCCCTCATCGAGAATGAAGACCCGGCCCCTAAGAGCACAACGAAGGCGTAGCCTACCTGAGGTCTTCGCCTGTGCATCAGGGATAATAGGTTTGGGTGGGTTTGTTAAAGACATCTGCTGGAAGGACCCCCCATCCCTAATGTTTTGTGGGTCTAGGGACCCTCTGATTGCGAGTCACCCCTGTGTCGGTGCGCGTAACTTCCCCATGTTCGGCCGCAAACGGGCTTATCTCGCGTCAGGGGGGACCTGTCCCCGCAGGTCGGGGGCGGAGAGCATGAGGACGAAGGCAAGCTTCAGTTCCTGCCCATGTTGAGCAGGATTCGATGCCAGTGTCACCGCGGACGTTTGTCCATTTGAGAGAAGTGCCGCCTGCCCAACGCCGGCCGCTGTCGGTTTTGGGCAACGCTCGCTGTTAGGCATCGTGCTCACTTGTTCCGCACAAGTCAGACTGGCGCACGACGTTGGGGTGCTGGATTGCGAGGGCGACGACGAAGAAATAACATCATCAAACCAATGCGCGTCTACCTCACGGCCGTATCGTAGTGCGAACCTGCCTCTCATCACAGGGAGGGACACGGGTAGGATGGGAGGAGGCCCCCCTTCCCAGTGGGTCTACGGCCGCCCCAGATCTATTTTGTCCCCAGATCGGTGCCTCCGTCCCCCCTTTCTGCAGACCTCCCAAGTTGGGTCGAAGTAGATGCGGTCGGATGGTCGCGCCGCATCGCCGATGCATCGGCCGTACGGCTCGATGTGGAGCCCGACTTTGTCCACGACGACGTCGGCGATGCGTCGGCGATGCGGCGCGACCCTCCAATCCCACACACTCGGACCCTAGTTGGGAGGCTACGACTCCCCGTGCCTCAGGCTCCTGGCCCCAGGCATCGCTGTGGATGCGTGGTGGAGGCTGCTCTGCCCGGCGCAGTGGCTGTGGCCTCATCCTCCGCAGCGGAGGCCCGAGCTCTCGAGGTCGATCTTTGGCTTCCCCGAGCCCGGAGGCGATCCCCGAGGTGTCTGAAGCCAGCGTGCAGGCCGTTGCGGCACGAACCTGCCGATGCCTGTCGTTGCCGACTGGCCCCGTCGCGGGGCCCCGTCGTTTCTGAAGGATTCCCAAGCTTTGAGGGCACATCCGTAATACATTCAACGCGCATGGTAAGGACGCGCGATTTCCCATCGGAGCCCTTGCGTCCTTGCCTCTGCGGCCCGTCCGTGGCCGCTCTCACTGGCCAGCCTCTCAGGGTACCCTCCCAATTTCCGCCTCTGAGGGTCTTGCGTCCTTACCCCACACGTCCGTACTATGCGTTTTGACTGTATTATCGTCGCCTTGGGCTTGTCAAGCTTCGGGGTGGGACGGCCAGCAACGCGGGGGGCCACAAACGGAGCCGGGAATCGAGGACTGCAGGCGAGCGGCCCCAACAGACAGAGGAGCCAGGCGCCCACACGGCGCACAGGCTCAGGAGAACTGACCCTTCGAACTGCGCTCAGGGAGAAGGCTGCGCGGACGCGGGGGGGGGGGGGGGGCGCGGTACGGTACGGCCGTCCTCGGAAGTGGGATCATGCCCCCTCAGCCGGGGGGTGCACAAACTCATAAGCTCGGCAGCCCAGGCGGGGGCGCGAGGAGGGAGGAGGAAAAGCAGGGAGCAGGAGGTGGCCCACAGGGGCCCTCGTCGACCCCCCTGAGCTGCCACCGCGGGCCCAGGAGGTCGCGGCCGGTGCGCGCTTCGTCAGCCCGCCGGAGCGACTCCGAAAAAGGGGGGCTCGTCTGCGCCGACGTTGGTTGGCGCGCAGGCTGCCCGCCGAAGGTCGCGCGTGCGCGCCCTCGTCTCCCGAGTGGCGTGGCGCGCTGGTGGCCCGCGCAGGCCGCCGCGTGAGGTCCCCCCCCCTGCCCCCCGAACTCGAAGTTGGCACGCGGGGGGGAGGCTGCGGTCGAGGTGCAACTCATCAGACCCACCGCCAACTTTGAACCTTGGGGGGAGGGGGAGGCGTTCACGGATGAATGTGGCATGAGTGTTCGCTATTTTTTTCCGAGGCCTGTACGTCATCTCGCGCAAGACCCGTTTCTGGTCGTCGCTCGCTTCCTTGCCCTGCGCTGCCGCCCTCTCCGATGCTTCTGCGCGGCCCCGGCGCTGCCTCCGAGGTCCGCCGGGCGGCGTGCTTTTCTTCCTGGCGTCGGGCTCTCCCGGCCAGGGGCCTCTCGGTGCTCGTCTCGTGCCGGGGGGTCGCGAGAGTCCTCCTCGCCCCCCGGGGTGTTTTGCGAGCGGACCTCCGACGTTCCAGGAACAAACAGGTTTTGAGAACGTGATCGTTTTCTGATTCATCGTTCTGCCGATCGGCGCGGGCCCTCGTACACCCCCCTCCTCCCCCCCGATGGAGTAGACCTTGGCTGTTTTGGGCGCCTGTTTCAAGCAGGTGGACGGCTCCCCATAGAATTGCCCATGGGAGCACTGCTCCAAACAGTCGCACTAGGCAGAGGTCCGGAGCCAGACCCCCACCTTCCCCCCCCCCTCCGCTCAATGTCGAAACGCCGAATGAGAAAGCACCCACAACCACGTTCTGAGATCTCCAGGGTTTCCCAGCCCTCCAAAAGTTCCACGCGGGGCGCGAGAGCGAGGGCCGCTAGAATCGATGGAGAGCCCAGAACGCATCCTGAACCAATCCTTCTCGTTGCATCGTTCTCGTTCCAGATTTGGCGCGGCAGCGCCGCACATTGACTCGTCCCAGTTGCCCGCTCGAATCTTCGAGGTCTCTCCGTCATGGGGTCTTTTGCTTGGCGACCTCTTCACTGGTATCGTCATGTCCCCTGCCAGAGGTGTGCATGACGCTCCTGGAGTTCAAGGCAAATCCGCTGGACCGAGCGGGATCAAGTGGGGCCAGATAAGCAGAGAGAGGAGATGAAGAGGAAATGGGAGTGGGGCAGAGTAGGTGAAGAAGGGGGAGGAGGAGGATAATGAAGTGAAGCTCCTTATGCTGCTGTTGATGATGCTTGATGTGATAGTCATGTTGATCATGAGGATGCTGATTGTGAAGGCCTTGCGGCCAGTGCCGCTGATCCTGAAGGCGGGACCTCCCCCGGGACCCCGGTGCCCCCTCCCTGGGGCCCCAGGGACAGGGCTGGGGCGGGGGCTTGGGTCGGGGCCGGGGCGGGGACCGGTGCTTGAAGGCCTTCGCGGCGAAGGCCTGGACGACGGCTTTGGCCGGCCCCGCCTTCACCGACGCCCAGTTCTCCGAGTACCCTACGTTTTACAGCGTTGTTCTCCGTGTTCTTGCAGCAGCCATGCCCTGGGGACCCCAACCGGATTTCCCCGCCCAGCTGGGAGCTCGCAGGGGGCAGCCGCACCGGAGGGCAACGCTTGCTGGGAACAAGAGAGAGAGAGAGAGCAGCGAGGCACCGAGAGCTTTTGCGCAACTGCGTGTGAGAGCTGCTCTTTGCTGCTGGTCTTGGGATCCAGCTCGTGGGCGTTTGTGCACCCTCGCGCCTAGCAAGCTCCTGGGCCCAAATGGCCTGCAGACTATGACAGCAACGATATTCCACCTGCCTGCCCCAGCCTACAGTGCCGTTTTTAATACATGCTCCGCGTGCGCATCATGTTTTGAACATGCAGGGATTTAGTATTGAAAGCAACCATGAGTTCATGCATAAATTTATTCATAAATGAGTCATGTATTAAAAATCATTTTTTTAAATCCGATGTATTAAAAACTGCCCTGTAGCTGGAGGGCAACGCTGGGCTGGCGCCCTGCTGACTGCCCAGCGGAAGCACCACGTGCGCGGCGGCCGAGCTGCCGCCCGCGCGTGCGGCTCCGGCCCTCGAGGGAGCACGGCTCCGCAGGGGCGGCGCAGGCGGAACGGGAGGTGGAGGCGGTCTCCCTGGAGCAGCGTGCCCGCGGAGCGGTGCAGGGGGCGCTTGCGGACCCATATCCTCATCCTCTTGCTCGGGATGCTGGCGGCCATGATGAAGATGAATCTGGAGGTGGTGGTGGTGACGATGATGGTGGTGATGACGATGAATCTGATTTTAAGGCGATGATGATGACGATGATGATGATGATGATGATGATGATGATGATGATGATGATGATGATGATGCGGATGAATACATTGATGATGCTGCTGATGATGCTGATGATGATGCTGATGATGATGATGATGATGTTGATGATGCTGATGCTGATGCTGCTGGTGATGATGCTGATGATGATGACGGTGATGCTGATGAGGATGATGACGGTGATCATGATCTTGCTGTTGATGATACTGATGATGATGACGATGATGATGCTGATGATGATGACGATGATGCTGCTGCTGATGATGTACTGATGATGGTGATGATGATGGTGATGATGATGATGATGGTGGTGATGATGATGATGACTATGATGATGATAATGATGATGATGATGATGATGATGATGAGGCTGGTGATTATGATGAAGACATTGATGATGCTGCTGGTGCTGACGATGATGATGACGATGATGATGATAATGATGCTGATGATGATGCTGATGCTGATGCTGATGCTGATGCTGATGCTGATGCTGCTGATGCTGATGCTGATGCTGATGCTGATGCTGATGATGATGATGATGATGATGATGATGATGATGATGATGATGATGATGATGATGATGATGTGATGATGAGATGATGATGATGATGATGCTTGTTGTTGTGTGGGTGGGGGAGGAGGATGGGGAGGAGGATGAGGAAGGGAGGAGGAGGAGGAGGAGAGGAGGAGGGGAGGAGGAGGTGAAAAGGGAGGAGGGAGGAGGAGGAAGGAGGAGGAGGAGGAGGAGGAGGAGGAGGAGGAAGAGGCGGAGGAGGAGGAGGAGGAGGAGGAGGCAGTCTGGCTTGCGCGCACGCGAGGAATTGGACACTGAGGGCGTGACACCAGTCCACTACGCCTCCTGCTCCGAGGCCAGCCGCACCCTGGTCCCTCCCCTCTTCTTCGCATCCGTATTCCTTCTCCTACTGCTGTAGCTGCTGCTGCTGCTCCGCCTCCTCCTTTTACTCCTCCTCCTCCTCCTCCACTTCCCCTCTTCTACAATTACTCAATATGAATACTACTCTCCTCTCTCCCTTGACTCTGTCCGGAAGATGTCCCGCCGTCTCCGCGTATTGTTTCAACACCAGACTAAACAAATGTGCTCTTCCATATGGCGTTTTACAATCCGATTGTTTTCGGTATTTCAAAATGGTGGTCCCGCTCCTGTCCCGTCCGCCCTCTCACTTCCTCCTCCTCCTTTTCCTCCTCCTTTTCCTCCTCCTTTTCCTCCTCCTCGTTTTCCTCCTCCTCCTCCGCCTCTGCCTCCTCCTCCTCCGCCTCCTCCTTTTCCTCCTACTCCTCCTCCTTTTCCCCCTCCTCCTCCTCCCTCCGCTCTCCTCGTTCCGCCCTCCTCCCTCCTATCTCCCTTCCCCCTCTTCCCTTCCACCCCCTCCTCGCTCCTTCCCCCGCCTTCCTTCCCGGGGGCCTCTGGAGAAAGTGTGGTGCCTTCACGGAAGCACCTGGGTAGGCTTCCAAGGAGACGGCTTCTGAGAAGCCTTGGGGCGCCTCTCAGGAAGCCCCCCCCTGTCTTCTCAGGAGCCCCGCCTGTCTTCTTAGGAGCCCCCCTGTCTTCGCATGAGCCTCTCCCCTCTCGCGCCAACCCCTCCTGCTCCTCCTCCTCCTCCTCCTCCTCCTCCTCTCCTCCTCCTCCTCCTCCTCCTCCTCCTCCTCCTCCTCCCTCCTCCTCCTCCCCTCCTCCTCCTGCTTCACTCCTCCTCCTCCTCCTCCTCCTCCTCCTCTCCTCCTCCTCTCTCAGCTTTCCTCCTCCTCCTCCTCCTCCTCCTCCTCCTCCTCTCTCCTCCTCCTCCTCCTCCTCCTCCTCCCCCTCCTCCTGCAGCGTTCGCAGCTTCTCCTCCTCCTCTCCTCCTCCTCCTCCTCTCCTCCTCCTCCTCCTCCTCCTCCTCCTCCCTCCCCTCCTCCTCCTCCTCCTCCTCCTCCTCCTCCTCCTCCTCCTCCTCCTCCTTCCTCCTTCTCCTTGCTCGGGGCGCGCCGCCAAGCGCGGTCACGGATGCTGGAGCAGAGCGCGGGCTGCGCCTGCTGCCGCCGGCCTGTGGAAGGAACCGGGGGGCACGCCTCTCGTCTCGTGGCCTCCTGGGACGCGGCGCGGGGCCGCCGGGGGACAGCCCACACCTCGTGGGGCCTCCTCCTCCTCCTCCTCCTCCTCCTCCTCCTCCTCCTCCTCCTGGGACGCGTCTCGTGGCCTCCTGGGACGCGGCGCGGGGCCTGCTCGGAGCGCGTCCCACAGCGCAACCTAAGCGATGTGCTTGGATCCGAGGCGGGGATTTATCCATCACCACCGCCGGGGGGATCGACCCTCGCGGACCCTCGCGGGCGGTGGACATGGACATGTTCGGGCCCCCGGGGGCAAACGTACGTATATCCAGGTCCATATCCACCGCCCGCTGGGTCCCCAGGACGTCGGTTCCCAGGCGGTGGATATGGATAAATCCCCGCCTCGCATTGGACTTGCTCGGTCAGATGCTGGACTTGGATTGTGCGCAGAGCACGCCCCCGAGCGCAGCCCCTGCGTCATGCTTGGGTATGCTCGGTTTCCGAGTTGGTCTGCGAACAGAGCACGCCTCAGAACTAGTTCCTGAGTGCGCCATGCTTGGACTTGAATTGGGTTTTTAAAGAAAGCGTCCCCGAGCGAAATCCTTTCCGCTATGATGAGACCGGGGCTGGATAAGTGTGCGAGTGATCGGGTACGGGACGGTACAGGCTGCTCGGAGTACGGTCGTTCATCCTACGACCTAGGGTAAGGGTTGGAATAGGAGTATTGTAGGGGTGCGGGTGAGAGTAAGAGTAGGCTTGCGAGCCGACAACAGGAACAGGGATGCGTTGGGCATCGGGGACAACCGCAGTGCTGCTGGCACATCTGAGGAACAAGATGTGGAGGAGAGGGGTTGTTCGCCCTTGGTCGTTCCGAGTTGGCTGGCTCCCGTATGGGCCGGCTCCCTCGCAGAAAAGTCCAACTGGGGGCTGGCCCGTTGGAGGAGGGAGGGAGGGAGGGAAGTAGGAGGTCCGGTTCGGTGCAGTCGTCCTCGCGTGAGTCAGGCTCGCAACTGCTGGGCGGGTGCGGCTTCCCCAGGAAGCAGCAGCTAAGGAGCCCAAGAAGGGCCCAAGAGCCAGAGCCACACGATGGCCCTCAGATGCAGAAACACAGAGATGGGACCGCATCAGGGCCTAAAGAATCTAACCGATCAGCCATGCTCTCTGCTCCTCCCCCCCCACCTCCTCGTGCACGGTCCTGTGGTCGTACACGGCGTTCCCGACCACGAATTTGGGCGCGGGCGCGGTGGGGGTGGGGGGACAGGCACGGAGAGAAAGACAAGAATGGACAGGCGAAAATGGACGTAAGTGCACCCCCCGACCGTAATATAGTAACCCACCCACCATCATGCAAGAATGATTGGCGACATCACGTGTAGCTGAGGTCTTAGGTACGGCAGAAGGAGGAAAAGGAGTAGCAGGAGGCGGAGGAGGAGTAGGAGGAGGAGAACGAGGAGGAGGAGGAGGAGGAGGAGGAGGAGGAGGAGGAGGATGTGGACGAGAACGACGACAAAGACGAAGACGTGGATGTGGACGTGGGCGTGGAGGAGGGTGGAGAGTGAAAGTGGGGGAGGAGGGCGGTGGGGAAGAGGAGGAGGAGGAGGTGGAGGAGAAGGAGGAGGATTTCCGGATTTCCGCAACCACAAGAGTGACTTTCAGGCTGAGACTGAGGCTTTGGGAAACTCACCGCCAGAGATTATATCAAGATACTCGCGGCGCGTCTTCGCTGCGGGTAAAACGCATGACTTTGCTAGACCCCTGAGCTGGTCTTGACCGTAACAGCCACATGTGCGACAGAACCACGATCGAAGCGCGTCGTGAAAATATAACCCGTGTGAGGGGTGGGCCCAACCTCCAGCGATGTGTAAACGTCGCCCTCGAGGGAACCTTAGCACCCTACCGTCGACAGCCTCTAAAGACACACCCAATCACTTGTTGGCCAGACCTGCAGCTCCGCTTTCGAACTGGACGACCTACCAAGCGCGACACGAGCGCCCGTGCTCGGTAAGGACGTGCGGGGTCGCGACGCGTGCAAGAGTAAGAGGGGCAGGAGTGGAAGGGCGAGGGCAAGGAGGCGGGGGGAGGAAGGGACACTGGCCTGACGAGCCTAGCCCTCCTTGGCAAGCCCTTCGGCCTGCGGCACTTCAAGAGCAGCCCGCAGAAGCCTACAGTCGGGGCCCTGAAGAAGGAACCCTTTTCGTTGGGGAGGGGCTCCGCGTTCCTTCAGTGTTTCGCAGCTTGCCTCAGGTTTTCCTGAGGTTTTCGATGGGAAATCAAAGTTTAACTCGTGGGAAAAAGGGGCCTCGTTCCTTATTCAAGGTTCCTTAGGTCAACGTCCCGGCTGTACGCCGAACCAGGGCTGCTTTTCTCTCGACGCCGTGCTCCCGCGTGTGCTCCTCGAGCGCGACGCGCGCATGGCTGGCCGCTGCGCCTGCCAGCTCGTCCGCCGCCGTGCTGCCCTGCACGAGCCACGACGGGATGTGCCGCTCCAGCACAGGGCTCGAGCTAAACAGTGTTTTGACCATTTCGTGGACCGTTTTCGTTTTGACTTCGTTTTGCAGCACATGGGGAACGAAGACAGAACTGGGGATGGCGAGAACAAAACGAAAACGGACAACACTGTTTAGCTCGAGCCCTGCTCCAGCACATGCACCGGGGCGGCCGACCTTGCCGGTGGAGCGCCTCGCCCATGGCCCGCCAAGGGTCGGCGTGCTCGCCCGCGGGCGGCGTGGCCAAAAGTCAGCCCACCGGCCGCGGCCGACCTCGTCGCAGTCCGCGATGCAGATGGCCCACCCCTCGGAGCGGCGGATGGCCAGCCCGAGCGCCGCGATCTCGCCTCGCGGGACCGTCTGGGCCGGCCCAGGCAGCGGTCCCAACGCGTGCGGGCCCAGCTGGATCGGGGAGGAGGGCTCGACAACCGTGATCGCGACACCGACGCGCCGAAGACGAATGTCGTGCGGAGGAGGAGGAGGAGTAGGAGAAGGAGGAGGAGGAGGAGGAGGAGGAGGAGGAGGAGAAGGAGGAGGAGGCGGACGAGGAGGAGGAGGACGAGGAGGAGGAGGACGAGGCGGAGGGTGAAGAGGAGGAGGAGGAGGAAGAGGAGGAGGAGGAGGAAGAGGAGGTGGAGCGAGCGAGCGAGCGAGCGAGCGACCTCGGCAGCAGTTCGGCTTCGGCGCATCGAGCACGGGCCTGAGAATATTGGGCGCCTGTCAGCGTCCTGCATTGCTGCTGGTTCTGTCTTTGGGCGAGGCGGTAGGGCGCCTGAGGGAGCCCGTGGGGGCCTATAAAGCCTTGGGCCCCTCGTCGGCCCTAGGCCGTCTCAAACCTCGGAATGTTCGCAAAAAGAGAGAGCGACACTCTAGGCTCAGCCCTCCCGTAACCTGCAAACATACGGGTAGTTACATGCTTAGGGGACGTTAGGGCACAAAGATATGAGTAGTATGCGCATCACGTGCTCACTGTACTGTACGAGGTACAACGTGCATGTGTTCGAGACCACAGCGCTAAACTACTGTGCGCTGTGCATCAATAGCTACGCTCACGTGCCCCGAGAGAGCAAGAATCCTAGCCGTACTAGTCCAGGATGGGGAGTTGAAGATGTGTTTGATCTATAAGTTCTGGACGGTTTGGGCATACATATATATATATATATATGTATACACCCGCCAGTCGCCGTAGTCGCTGGAGTGGAAATACGCTTGACACCATAGAGTAAAACATATCCACACAGTCTGAGTCATTATGCATATGTAATTGGCGAGCGTGATGTAGCTGGATGTGAAAAACGCTTGCTATCGTAACTTCATGCGTGTCAGCATATCTCTGGCTCGCGTGCTTCCCTTTTCGGCCTGTCTGCGAAGCCCTTTAACGTTCACAACTGCATATCTCACATCTGGCGCGCTCGAAGCTGGTTCTGAATTGCCCTCTCCAGCGCGCTTGGCTGGGCTGACCCCTGAACTGTCTCGCCTCCCATGTGCAGGATGGCGTGATGAACTGCTTGACGAAACTGCTGGATCGTGATCGGTGGCGGTTTGATCGGTTCCGCAAGTGTTGGCTTCACGCGCAGGGACCTTGGAACCCCGGCTCCGACCGGGCTCCGACGAAAAAGGGCCATTTTTCGAAGTTGCGGTTTCTTCGGCTATGTGCGGTTGGTCGGGCTCGGAGCGGGTGACCTAGCCGCCCGCGTTCTGCCGTCGCCTGCGGCGCGTTTCTCCGTCCAGAGGTTCGTGGTGTGTGCGGGCGCACGAGAGCAAAGTGCATAAGGAAAAGGAGTCGAGGAGGAGGAGGAGGATGAGGAGGAGGAGCCTACCCCCGGCCCTACTGGGCCACCGTATCTCAGCCCCACCTGCCCAGTCTCCTACTACCCTCGTCAAAATTAACCTTAAAAGCTGCTGGCACGTCATTTCGGTTTCGGCGCGCCCCTCAATGTCGACGCGCCGCCCCTTCAATGTCGGGGCGAGGGCAAAGATAGTCTGACCGAAGTTGACTCGAAAGTTTGACGTCGACCGACATTGGAGGGGCGGCGCATGCAAGTACCCCGTACTCATCGATACTCGGCGCCAGATCTTCCGACAAGCAGTTCAACCACGTCAGACATGTTTGAGGTTAATTTTGACGAAGGTTGTAGGTGAGGATAGGCCCCGCGAGACCCGATGGGAAAGGCATGTCGCACTACCCAGGCGGGTCAGTCGGTGGGGCCGAGGCCACGCCAGTGGGGACAGGCATCGTTCAAGCGATGCTCATCTGCAGGCGATGCGTCGAGCACGTGTCCCGTTGCTCGGCTGGCGTGGTTCAGCGGTCGCTCGGCGGGGCTTCTGGACCCAGGGGCTCCAAAGGGGAGGCCAACGAATCGCCATTCGAGTCGTTCACGCTTGATGAGGCTGCGGTTCCAGTCGATCTCAGCTTGCCTGGCGTGGAGTAAAAGTGAGAGGGGGGGCGGAGTCAGTGAGGAAAGGGAGGCACGCGCGGGCATGGTGGAGGAGGACAAGAGGAAGGATATTGCACGGTACACGTTCGGCTCACGCCCCCGCCCCTCGCCCGTGGCCCGCGACGACCGCCCTCCCGCCCGCCGCTCGTGGGCGCGCGCGAGCCCAAGTCTGCCGTCGGAGCTGCCTGGCGTGGCCGTGTGCGTGTCTGCCCCGGGGATGTCCGCCGTGCGCCTGCGCCTCGTCGTATCGGAGAGCGGAGTCATGGGAACGTAGGCGCGTCGCGGAACGCGCCCGCTCTCGCGGGAAGGGGTGCTCACTGTGCCGGCCCCCGCAGACTCGGGTGGAGGGCCACAGGCTGGAATCCATTTGGACGTTGCCGGCGGACTCGGCGCGGACGTGAGCAAGGAAGATGATGATGCGGCGGGGGGAGGAGGAGGAGGAGGAGGAGGAGGAGGAGGAGGAGGAGGAGGAGGAGGACCAGGGAGCCTCGCAAGGGTGAGGCGAAGTAAGGTCCCCGCGAGGAGTTGCCATCTGCGTGCCATCAGTCGACCGTGTGTTGCTCGCGATGCGGTCGAGGGCCTTCTGGAAAGACGTGCTGGAGGCTCTGACCTCGAGACGTAGGAGACTCTCGAGTCATCACTGCTCATGATCAGGAGAGCTCGACCTCTGAGGAGCGACACCGCACACCCAATATGTTGCCACTGCTGCTTCTCCTTCTCGCACTCCCCCTCCTCGTCTTCCTCCTCCTCCTCCTCCTTTCTTTTCCTGTTTCTTCCTCCTCTTCCTTCTCCTGCTCGTCGTCCTTCTCATCTCTCTTGTCTTCCAACCTTTATTTCATTGATTTGCCCAGCATGCGCCGAAGGCGTGCTGGCCGGTGTTTGCCGCGGCGGGGTGCGAGCGCGTGTCCAAGGCTCCTTCGGGGCTGGCCTGCCGAGGGGGCAGGAAACATCATGGCTGTCGTGCGTCCCTCTTCCAGTATCTTCTGAAAGGGGGAGGGGAGGCAGGGGCAAGGAGAGCACTCTGGGTGTCCGCGGTTTGGTCGGTTCGGCTGCGTCGCAAGCGCTTCCGTTTGGTCGGCCTGGTTCGGTCGGGTGTCGTGCCGTTTCTGCGTCACTGCGCCCTCCTGTCAGTAGGGAAAGAAACATACAGACGCAATTAATCGTCGACTCCCAGGAAATTAGCCTGGCGAAGGACCCAACCATATGCAGCTGTGAATACCGCAATTGTGAATACCATCTTCGCCCGCGCTCCCTGTGTGGCCACGGCTTCCCGCCGGAGCCCGACATGCTCAGGAACACGTTCATGGCCGTCTTCGCGGGCGCCGACGACGACAAGGACGGCGTCCCTCTGACCGAGGAGCAGAAGCAGGAGAGGGTTTTGAGAGCCATGAGGGAGGAGGTGTCCGTGCACGTCGGGAAGGCGGAGTACGACGCCCAGGCGCGATTGTTGAAGCAGCACAATATGGGGCCACGAGCCTCGTGAGGGGTGTGCCGAAATGGCTTGGGGCCGCCATGGGAACCCTGCCACTGGGGGCTTTCGGTGGAGCTCCCTATGGGGCCACGATCCTCGTGAGGGGTGCGCCGAAATGGCCCGAGGCCGCCGTGCGAACCCTGACGCTGGGGGCCTTCGGTGGAGCTCCCTATGGGGCCACGATCCTCGTTTGGGGTGTGCCGACGCGGCCCGCGGCCGCCGTGCGAACCCTGCCACTGGCGCCTTCGGCGAAGCTCCACATGTGGCCACGATATTCGCGATGGGGCGTGCCGAAATGGCCCGAGGCCGCCATGCGAACCCTGCCGCTGGCGCCTTCGGCGGAGCTCCCGACGGGGCCACGATCCTCGTGAGGGGTGCGCCGAAATGGCCCAGGCCGCCGTGGGGACCTGCCACTGGGACCTTCGGTGGAGCTCTTGTGGGGCCACGATCCTTGTGAGGGGTGTGCCGAAATGGCCCGAGGCCGCCATGCGCACTTTGTCACTGGCGCCCTCGGTGGAGCTCCTACAGGGCCACGATCCTCGTGGGGGGTGTGCCGACATGGCCCGAGGCCGCCATGCGCATTTTGCTACCGGCGTCTTCGGTGGAGCTCCTATGGGGCCACGAGCCTCGTGAGGGGTGTGCCGAAATGGCCCGAGGCCGCCATGCGCACTTTGCTACTGGCGCCTTCGGTGGAGCTCCCTATGGGGCCACGATCCTCGCAAGGGGTGTGCCGAAATGGCCCGAGGCCGCCATGCGCAGTTTGATATTGGCGCCTCCGGTGGAGCTCCCTATGGGGCCATGATCCTCGTGAGGGGTGTGCCGACATGGCCCGAGGTCGCCATGCGCACTTTGCTACTGGGGGCTTTCGGTGGAGCTCCCTATGGGGCCAATATCCTCGTGAGGGGTGCCGAAATCTCGTGGGGCCGCCATGCGCACGTTGATACTGGCGCCTTCGGTGGAGCTCCTATGGGGCCACGATCCTCGAGAGGGGTGTGCCGAAATGGCCCGAGGCCGCCATGCGCACTTTGATATTGGCGCCTTCGGTGGAGCTCCTATGGGGCCACGAGCCTCGTGAGGGGTGTGCCGAAATGGCCCGAGGCCGCCATGCGCACTTTGCTACTGGCGCCTTCGGTGGAGCTCCTATGGGGCCACGATCCTCGCAAGCGGTGTGCCGAAATGGCCCGAGGCCGCCATGCGCACTTTGCTACTGACGCCTTCGGTGGAGCTCCCTATGGGGCCACGATCCTCGTGAGGGTGATGATGCTGATGATGATGATGATGATGATGATGATGATGAGGATGATGATGATGATGATGATGATGATGACGATGATGCGAGGAGGAGGGGGGAGGGGGCAGCAGGAGGAGGAAGGAACGCGGGGCACTGTCTCTTCAGAACGAGGACCCAACGCCACAGGATGGTTGGGACATGTGGGAAAATATCGGAAGTGGTGGGGAAACGAAAACCAAGAACATGTGGGAAATATCGGGAATCCGGTTAGTTATGTCTATTTATTTGTGTGTCCCTGGGCCCCTTCATCCTGGGTTGCTTGCGGCCTGTCGGTTTCGGTCGGCTTCGGTTTCGCCGTCGGCTCGGTCGGCTTTCAGTCGTCCTTTTCGCCGTGGGCGGCCCCGACATGGGGAGGCGGGTTTTGCGAGCGGGTCGCACCACCAGCACGTCGTATTTTCACCCGGCACTGGCCCACGCCAGTTGCACAGTCAACCCGCTCAGTAAGGATGGACAACCTTCCCCAGGGTACCCTTGCCTCCTCGGTCCATCCTTCGCCGCTTTCGCTGGCCGCGCCCCGCTCGAAAAGCTTCGAAATTGGCGCCCAAGGGCCTTGCATCCTTCTCGCGCATCCTTACTATTATATACGGGCTGACTGTACGGTGTGCCACCCTCTCCACGGGGGTCCTTTGGTCGTCGTGGGCCGTCTTGGATGATGGGCCTGTTTTCCACCACCACCAGAAGCTGGAGGGGGAAGGATGTGGAAGAGGAGGGGGAGGAGGAGGAGGAGGAGAAGGAGGAAGAGGAGGAGGAGGAGGAGGAGGAGGAGGAAGAGGAGGAGGAGGAGGAGGACCCCCTCCCCCTCCTACTCATGGTGGTGGTGGTGGTGGTGGAAAACAAACCCATCCTTGGAGCTGTCGTGGGCTGGCCTTGGAGCTGTCTGAGAGTCAGCAATTTCTAGCCTTGGGGTCACCTATAGACGGTGTCTCGAGCGGACTTTACAGGGCTTCGAGCCGTTTTCGGCGGACTTCCCCGCAGCGTAGGGAGGAGCGCTCTAGGGCGGCCCAGAGTTGTCTGAGGGTCGTCTGGCGTTCACAGCAGACGGGTACAGTGGGGGCCCATGCCAAGGAACACCCTGCTAGCCTCCAGTGCGCCCTGGGTTTCTTAAACTTCGATGGTTTGGCCATGGACAGCGTGACGTCCCCACACCAAAGATCGATGGACGTCCTGGGGTCTCAGGATTGGGTTTCTTGGGGGGTTTCTTGTGGTCGGGCCCCCACTGTAAGACCCTTGAAAAGTGCTCGACATCAGCACCTACAGCACTCGCATCCCAGAACCTGCCAGGACGCTCTTTCAGGGGCGGGGGCTTCTCATATAGCATCTTCAGAAGTCATCGGATGCATGTCGGAGGTCCCGCCCGTTCCCAGGGGATTGGCCATATGCGGGACTGCACAAACAGATTGAGTACAGGCGTCCGGGAGGCGGCACTCGGCCGCCTCCTGCCTCCCGCCTCACTCGCACTCGGCAGCTCCCTGCACGAACACAGAGACAACAATTGTGCTCACTCGGGAGGCCTCCTTGGGGCCCCTTGGAGGCCTATGTGTGGCGCATCGGGGGGGCCTCTCTGAGGCCTCTTGGGCCTCCCTGGGACCTCTCTTGCGAGCGTCTCGGGGCGTCTTGGGGGCCTCCCTGGGGCCTGGAGGCGGTCTATGGGGCCATCTTCATCGTGGTGTGGAGGGCTCTTGATGGCAGTTCATATCCCCCCTCTTTGTGCCCTCTTTCGGCGGTGAGCGAGGGGGAAGTGAGAAAAGGCCTTCTCAGAAGGCGGCGGGACTTCTCAGAAGCCCTCGCGCTTTCTGATATGTTTGTTCTGTCTTCGAGGGAGACTTAAAAAACTTCTCAGAAGGCCAGGGAACTTCCGATCCTTCTGAGAAGGCTTTCTCCTTCTCATTTCCTCCCCTCGTCCGCCGCCGACTCTTGGTGTCGTCTTTGGGGACCCTGGGCTCCTCTTGGGGGCCTTGGCGACCGTTTGGGGGCGATTCTGGGGGTCTCTGAGACCGTCTTGGCCGCCCTTGTGACCGAACAGCCGAGCATACGAACATTCATGCAACACGTGCAGACATTCCAGTGATGTTGTCCTCGTGTGGCGGTTCCAGAGCCTACAGACGGCCCAAGAGGCGCTCAGGAGGGTTCCAGGACGGGCCCTGGCTGGGACCATCTTCACTCGTGCTGGTCGTGTGGAATCCCAACCAGGCTCTTGAGGCCTCCAGAGAGTTCACGCGACGCGCCACCTTTGCCCGGGAGCGCCCAGGAATCCCTGGAACTCGTCGGTCCAGGTCCCTTGGGCTTGTTAGAGGGTTTGCAATACTCGTCACGGAGAGCTCGAAGTGAGGGACCAGAGGACACTCCACTCAGTGCCTCGCGGCACGGTGGCGGACTCTGCAGAGGTCTCGCTGGGCTGGTTGAAGCTATAAAGCTTGCGATGCTCCGGGACCTGCAACCCTGCTGGAGATCACAGGGTTGCGAATGCTTGCGGGGCTGGACTGCGAATCGGAAAGAGCAGTGCGATGGCGTTCTGGAACTCTTGAGCTCTTGTTCCTTGGGTCACTGTAGACGTAACGTCATGAGTGTTTGGCCTCGGATTGGCACTTGCAGCGCTGTCAATCAAGTCATTCGAACACACATGACAAATCCAAGTAGCAAGTGCCAGGCGTCGTCCGATTCCAAACTCATGCCCCGTCTGATGACATGTTATTCCGTAAGGGTTTCGCCCTCTGCCGCCGGCCTTTCTCTATCATCATGGAAGATATGAGAGCTGTGTCGGGGTGTCTAGGCGCCTTCTTGAAACCATTCGGGAGCACCATGCGGGGACGGATAGGAGTCACAATGTGTTGTATGTTTGGAGCGTTCCCCGCGCGAATTTGGAGTTATTTTCGCGAGAATTTGGCTTTGGAGCGCGAATCTGGCGCAATGTGCAGAACGATTCATTGGCTTACGCCGCACCGCCGACCCGGTGGGGCAGCAGCAAGAGTGAAAGACAGAATTCGGCCTGTCCTACGTAGTGTGTGGGGTTCAAGTAGGTGCCTTGTAGGGGATTGTTTTGAAGTGTTTCGTGGTCTTATGTGAGTTTCTTGGGGCCTTCACGGGGCCTGTCCCAGGCCTCCTTTTCCATCTCCTGGATAGGTTCGGGGATCGTTGAGACCCAGCTGGGGTTGCGTCCGGCCAGAAGTTCGAGAGTGGACCCAGCTGTGTCGACGAAAGGCTTCCTGAATGTCCAGAGGGGGCGGAGAGCGCCCAAGAACTAGGAGTCTCATGCCTCGAGCCTCGATCCACCCCGTGTTCCTTCTTTTGTGACGGGGTGGCACCGGCCAGGGAGGTCGATCCTCATCCCGGACTTTCGGCGGTGGTCTTCGGCACCGAAAACGGATCCTGGAGGCTGAATTCGAGGAGATGCCTCGGGTGGTCGAAAGACCACGAAAATCTGTGAGACATCGGCGGCGACGGCGATAGTTTTGTTGTTGTTGTTGTTGTTGTTGTTGTTGTTGTTGTTGTTGTTGTTGTTGTTGTTGTTGTTGTTGAAGATTATTACTTCTAAAGAATAATTATTGTTGGGACCCCTGGTGCACGACCCCCCCGCCGCGCCTAGGCCGCAGCCTCATTTTCATCATTTTCGTGAGGAAGTCTCAGGCAAAACGGGGGAGTCCGGATCCGGTTGTGTTGTTACGATCGGTTTTCCCTTGCAAAAAATAAGCTAAAGTGGACATTTCTTGTTCTAACATAACCAAACTTCAAGAATCCCTTGCAAAAAATAAGGTAAAGTGGACATTCGCGCGCGCAAGACGAAATCCTTCCAAAACTTTAGTTTTCGTAGCGATTTTAACATAAAAACATCAAAAAACGAATGGTTTTTCACAAAAAAAAATGTCAAAATTTCATCCCGCGCGCTCTTGCGGATTTGTAGGAAACCCAACACTTTTTCATCATTTCTGTCAGACGGGCTTTTGCGAGCAACTTTTTCGAACTTCTGCAACAACGGTTGCGCACCTGCCAGGGCCATCATCCCTGTCAAATAATACCATGCGGGACACATTCGTTTTTTCTTCGCTCGCGCACTCCGTCTTCGTCGGCCGCGGGGCCCTGAATAGTAGCCACGGTCGTCCGCATGCCACGAAGTGAAGTGTCCGAACGTCATAGGGCGGGAAGCTGGGTGTGGGTGGTGGCGAAGAGTCGTTTGGAAATTTGGTAGAGCTTGAACCGGCCCCCCCACAAAGTGGGGGTATTGCCCGCCTCCTATGAAAACCCTGGCACTGGTAAGAACGGAGTGTCCCCACGTGCTAGTAATTGTTGTTGTTGTTGTTCTTGTGGTTGTTGTGTTTGTTGTTTGTTGTTTGTTGTTTGTTGTTTGTTGTTTGTTGTTTGTTGTTTGTTTGTTGTTTATTGTTATTGTCGTCGTCCCACCCGCGACCGGCCCCGCGACCCGCCCCGCGACCCACCCGCGACCCACCCCGCGACCCGCCCCCGACCGACCCGCGACCCACCCCGCGACCCACCCCGCGACCCACCCCGCGACCCACCTCGCGACCCACCTCGCGACCCACCCGCGACCCGCCCGCGACCCACCCTGCGACCCGCCCGCGACCCACCCCGCGACCCACCCCGAAACCCACCCGCGACCCACCGGCGACCCACCCCGAAACCCACCCGACCCACCCCGTGACCCGCCCGCGACCCACCCCGCGACCCACCGCAAATTTTCGGCGCCTGCGGCGGGCTTCGTTTACATTCGTTCCAGGTGGGGAACCTGCGACCCACCCGCGACCTAAACCGCGTTCAGTGTACAAATCAAAATTTTCGGCGCTTGCGGCGGGCTGTTTTTGAATTCCTTCCAGGTGGAGGTGGACAGCCCGCGACCCAAACTGCGCTGAGTGAACAAGCCAAAATTTCGGCGCCTGCGGCGGGCTGATTTTGCATTCCTTCCGGGTGCCCCACCAGCGATCCCCCCGCGCTGAGGAGGAGGAGGAGGAGGAAAAGGAGGAAAAGGAGGAGAGGAGGAGGAGGAGGAGGAGGAGGAGGGGGAGGAGGAGGAGACGGAGGAGGAGAGGAGGAGGAGAGGAGAAGGAAGAGGAAAAAGAGGAAAACGAGGAGAGGAGGAGTAGGAAAAAGAGGAGGAGGAGGAGAGGAGGAGGCGGAGGAGGAGGAGGAGGCGGACGACGACGACGACGACGATGAGGACGAGGACGCGGACGAGGAAGAGACGGAGGAGGAGGAGAGGAGGAGCGGAGGAGCAGGAGGAGGAGGAGGGGGAGGAGGAGGAGGAGGAGGAGGAGGAGGAGGCGGAGGAGGGGAGGAGGGCGCCATCGACAGGGAAGGTGAGGGCCGCGAGGTCCGCATGCTCGTCGCCCGCGTCGCCCGCGCCCGCCCTTTCACTCTTATCCGCAATTGCGGGGTGCTATACCCCCCCCCCCCCCACATATATATATATATATATATATATATATATATATATATATATATATATAATACAGAGTGGCCTTCGGCCCATCCCGCCACCGTGCCTTGGTTGTCGACCTGAGATCCTTGGTGCCTCGGTTGCGGGTTCGAAGTTGCTTGCCTCAAGTGGTACTTGGGGTTTCTTTTGAGTCTCTTGGGGGCCTCTTGGGGGCCTCTTGGGGGGCCTCTTGGTGGGCCTCTTGGGGGCCTCACGGGCCCTGTTGGGCGCCTCTTGGGCCCTGGGGCCGTTTTGGGGCGGAAGGTTCGGATTGTTGGTTCAGGCTCTGCCTCTTGGGCCCCTCTTTGGGCCGTCTTGGGGCACTCTTGGGCCGTCTTGGGAGCCTCCAGGGCCGTTTCGGCGCCCGCTTGGGCCGGTCCGAGCGCCTCTTGGGAACCTTTTGGGCCGTTGGGGGGCGGTTTTGGGGGGCTCCGGGGCCATCTTCAACGCCGTGAAGGTTGAAGAGTCGTGTATAATAAAAATGTGTGGTTTCCAATCGCATTTCTACGATTTTGGCCTCCGGGGTCCCTCTTGGGGATGCTCTTGGAGGCTTCCTGGGCCGTTTGGGAAGCTTCTGGGGCCGTCTTGGGGCCATCCTGGGCGTCTTGGGCCGACTTTTGGGCGTCTCGGGGACCTCTTGGGCCGTCGTGGGGGCTGCTTGGAGCCCTCTGGGGCCTCGTGGGGCCTGATGACAGCTGTGCCCCACCCCCCACCCATCTCCAAACCGGCCGGACTGGGCTCCCGGGAGAGGGTTTGGGAGGGAGAGGCATCTTTCACGCCGTGACCCCAAGGGGTCGGCGGATTCTGGCCTCGGGAGCGCGAGTCTGGCGCAGTGCACAAATGATTCTGGCTTCGGGAGCGCGAATCTGGCACAATGAACAACGGGCTCTGGCCTCGGGAGCACGAACGTGGCGCACTTTGCAAGGAATGGCCTCGGGAGGGCGAATCCGGAGTAATTCAGTATTGATTCTGTCTTCGCGAGTGCGAATCATTCGTATTGTGCGAGGCATTCTGGCCTCGGGAGCGACCAGTAGCAATTTCAAACGAGTTGTGGTCTCGGGAGCGCGAACCTGGAATGCTTTACGGACAGATTCTGGCGCCGGGAGCGCGAATCTGGTATAATTTGGAAGGGATTCTGGTTCTGAAAGCGCGAACCTGGGGCAACTTATTCAGGATTCTGGCCTCGGGGTCGCGAGCCTGGCGTAGTTGTAAAGGGATTCAGTGTTCGGTAGCGCGAAATGGAGTAACATTTGAGACGGATTCTGGCCTCAGGAACGTGACCCTGGTGTATTCACGAGGGATGATTGCCTCGGGGGGCGCGAATCTCATGTATTTTTTGCACGCATTCGACCCACCAGAAAGTCAGGCAACGCTGTTCGTGGACGGTGGCCAGGGTGGTTTTCAGTCCCACCCTTGCACGGACAGTCACAGTTTCTAGTAGGGAGCAAAACGTAGTATTATTACATTGGAGACGAATCTGGAACTGAAGTAGGTTGCAGGAGTCCTCAGCCGCGCAGCTTTGTGGCCCCACAAAGTGGCCGGCAGCTTCGCCTGGCCATCCTCATATCGATTCCAGTGCTTTCTTCTGCTTATGATGCGCTCATGTTCTGGTCTGCTCCAAGCGTGTAATCAGAGCTGCGTCTTTCAGCAAATGAAATTTTCCACCACGTGCCTGACGGCTATACCAGCACGCTTCTCAAGGGAGCAGAAACACACCGCACGTCGAGGTGTCAGAATGTGCCCCTCCCACCGAACGGTTTGTGCCGCCCTGGAGGCAGGTGCAGTGCAGCCCTCAGGCTGAGCTGCTACACGGGTGATGACCTAGAGACGTGCGTCCTCACGGGAGCCACCCTTCGTCTGGGCACACGAATTTGCCACGCCGTCGCCCGGCTGTCGCCTCAGTGCCCAGCCCACCAGGGTTCTGTGGGAGTCAAACGCACTTGCGCGCTCGCACACGCACAAGCACACGTGCACGCGCCCTCACGCCGGCATTGACGTGCCCATATTTCGGGGCTGGACAGAACCCCCAACAGTGACACGTCGATTAGTGAATTGTCCGTTTTCGGTTCTCGAGAGGGCGCCGTGGCCGTTATTTTCCAGGCCTGCGCCCGCCAGGTTTGGGCCCCAGGTCGTTTTCACTGTACCACGTTTTACTAAAGGGGGGTCTGTCCATCCCCGAATATTCGCACGCGCGCACCGCATGCGAACACCCACGCGCGTGGGCCCTGCCTGCGCTGCGGCACCCTCCCCCCGTCCGCCGCGCCCGCGGCGCCCCGCAGCCCGAGCTGGTGAGCAAGGGGGTCCTGCGGAAGGCCAGCTCCGCGCTGGAGGCGCCCCCCGGGAGGGCAATGGGGCGGGCGGGCGCCTGGCCGACGGCCACAAGAGGCATGCGGAGGAGGAGGGCGGTGGGGGGGAGGTGGAGTTCTTCCTCCTCCTCTTCTTCCTCCTTCACCTGCTCCTTTTCCTCCTCCTCCTCCTCCTCCTCCTCCTCCTCAGTCCTCCTCCTCCTCCTCCTCCTCAGTCCTCCTCCTCCTCCTCCTCCTCCTCCCTCTTCTCCCTTCTCCGTACTGCCCTCTTCCGTCCGTCGTCTTGACTCGGCGCGTCGCTTCATGTGCTCGGTGCTCCTCCTCCTTCTCCTCCTGCGCCTTCTCCGGCCTCCTCCCCGAGGCCTCCTGGGCCCTCTCCCTGGATCGGGGGATCCCCGACGGTGTGGTGACCACACCGCATGGGGAGTCGCTGGGGACTCGGGGTCGGGGTCACCGCGCGGTTTTGGGATTCGACGCGGATTTGGCGTGGATTCGACGCGGACCTGACACGGAGTCGGCACGGATCCGACGAGTCCGACATGGACTCGACACGGCTTCGACGCGGACAAGGCGCCGCGACAGGACGGCCGAGGCCCCCCGAAGATGCAGCGCTGCCCAGGGTCCCGCACACCGCGCGGTGACGGACCGCGCGGTGAGGTCTCGCCGCGCGGCCCGCCGCCGCGCGGTGTTAGGATTAGGAGGAGGACGCGGAGGCGGAGGCGGAGGCGGAGGAGGAGGAGGAGGAGGAGGAGGAGGAGGAGGAGGAGGAGGAGGAGGAGGAGGAGGAGTGGAACCCCTGGCGGGAGCGCTGGCCCGTGGCGCGCGCGCGCGCGGGGTGCGGGCGCACCCGCCGGCGCCCCGAGGCGCAGCTGGCGCTCGAGGCCCAGCAGGCGCGGGAGGCGCCCCGGCGCGGCAGCGGCGGCCACCCCGCTGCGCTCCCGGGCGGGGCGGAGGGCCTGGGCTCACGTCGGGCATGCCCCTTCTACGGGGGGGAGGAACCAAAAGTTGTCAAGGCAGAGTCTGGGGACGATTCTTCGATCATTTTTGTGCGACTATGTTTTTTTTTGTTGTTGTTGTTGTTGTTGTTGGTGGTGGTGGTGGTGGTGGTGTTGTTGTTGTTGTTGTTGTGGTGGTTGTGGTTGTGGTTGTGGTTGTTGTTGTTGTTGTTGTTGTTGGTGCTGGTGTTGTTGGTGTTGTTGTTGTTGCTGTTGTTGTTGCGGTTGTGGTTGTGGTTGTGGTTGTGGTTGTGGTTGTTGTTGTTGTTGTGGTTGTGGTTGTGGTTGTTGTTGTTGTTGTTGTTGTTGTTGTGGTTGTGGTTGTGGTTGTGGTTGCGGTTGTGGTTGTGGTTGTGGTTGTGGTTGTTGTTGTTGTTGTTGTTGCTGTTGTTGTTGTGGTTGTGGTTGTGGTTGTGGTTGTGGTTGTGGTTGTGGTTGTTGTTGTTGTTGTGGTTGTGGTTGTGGTTGTTGTTGTTGTTGTTGTTGTTGTTGTTGTTGTGGTTGTGGTTGTGGTTGTGGTTGCGGTTGTGGTTGTGGTTGTGGTTGTGGTTGTTGTTGTTGTT